CCAGAGAGTGCGCTCAGACAGGGAGACACCAGATAGTGTGCTCACACGGGGAGATGCCGGATAGTGTGCTCAGATGGGGAGATGTCGGATAGTGTGTTCAGACAGGGAGACATCATAGAGTGTGCTCACAGGGGAGATGTCAGATAGTGTGCTTATAGAATGAGATATCAGATAGCAAAAACCCATAAAAATATAATAGTAAGTACAGATGCAAATCTCAAAAGACTATGGCAGAATAATATTTTATAAGGCTCAAAATAAATGAAATAGTACATTTTGAGCAATATACATATACAGAAAAGTTTTCTTTACTAAATCAAGGAAGTGGTAAACAGAAAGTTCAGGATGCTTCATATCTGGAATGGAAAGGTGTCCAGGGGATAGCCAGTGATCAGAACTGTGAATTTCTGGGCATATGTTTAATTATTTTGCTCTATAACTCACACAGGCGCTAAATGAAATTTTTAATTATGAAGAGTTAGTTATACTAAATGGTTAAAAATAAGAAAGGCATCTTAGAGACATAGGTGCAGGCTGGAGTCCCTGGCCCTAGGCTCTGCCCACAGGTCTGCAGTCTGCTATTTGGGAGGGAGATTAGAGGTGATTGACAATAAGAAGTTTTTCAAACTGCATGTTGGAGTGTACAGTTTTTAATTGCTTACTATTGCCTCTGGGATAATGAATCCATGTAGTGGGGTGAGTGGTCCTAGGCACCAGGGGCAGTGCTGTGCCACTGTGGGCTGCGCCATGACCCCCTGGAGATCTGGATTCTGGCTTGCTGGGGTGGGGGTATCTGGAACATGATTAAAGTTTGTGATGACCTGAAGTGTTCACACTGCCATAGGTGCCGCCGCTTAACCAGACAGAAAGCCTTTTCTTGTGTATCTCATAGACGTTTTCTAAAAACCATCAGCCCCAATTGCTGTGGTCAGGGTATGGGTGAGTCAGAGGTAGGTTTCTGGGTCCCACCTTGACATTGCCTATTTCCACCTGCTCACAGAGATGCCGTGAATCATAAGATTGGAGCATGTTACAGCCCTGTGACTGGACTACCCTGGGGGATAAATGTCCACAGAGTGGCACCTTAAACCCAGGCTCTCGGCATCCCCTCTCCAGCAGTCACAGGCATCTTTGTAGGGCAGTGTTGCATCCTCTCAAGCTGCCTAGAGGTTATCGGGGGGACGCACCACCCTCAGAATAAAAGCAGGGGCTGCCCAGGTGCTTACCAAGTGGCTGGAGTGTCCGTTCAGATGCAAACCACTGTCGAAGAGCGGAGAGGAGGCCTCGCTGCTGTGGTTGCTGGGTGACCCAGGGGACCCTGAAACAGGAGGAGAGACATATGTTGCCAAGTGTGGCCTGTGTGACGGTAAGGCAACTTCAGTGCCACCATGTGGGAAGTCAGGGCACACAGCCTGGTGGCTCTCAGAGGAGCAGAGGCCAGTTACAGCCGGCTGGGCCACCTGAGGGCTCTGCACATTCCCGCCTGCCTGCCAGAGGGATGCAACACTGCCCTGTGCACCCTGCAGGCCCTCACTGACCCACACCCTGGGGACTTTCTGCCACTGGGATGAAGTGTGCTAATTTTCTGAAAGTTATTCTTGACTTTCCAATTTTCATTTCAATTGATTTATTTCTTTGACATTTTGCAGTTATCTCTGAATAGAAAATTGCTTTAGTGGAAAATATAAAGACAAATCAGGTACCATTTGTGGACTGTGATATTAAAAAAAGGAAGAGGCTGGGTTGTAGAGAGCAGAGGTCAGGGGCACTGGAAGGCACGGCTCCAGTGTGTCCAAGGACCTGTAGGAACAAGCTCACATGGGAAGGTCACCCATATGAATTACAATGTGGCTTCCTGTCCTGGAGGTGGAGGCTGCCCCACAGCCCTCCTGTGCCCATCTGGGACAGGTGGCCCAGGAGCCCTGCTCTGGGCACCTGTGGGCACTTCTCCTCTGCCTCATCACCATCTCCACTCCTTCCCCTGCCAGCCCGGGCACAGGGAGGGTGGCGCAGGGCACCTCCAGCTCAAGAGAGGCCAGGATTTAGTTTGGACATGTCACAGAATTGGGGGCAGTTAGTTGGAAAGGACATGGCAGAAGGAGCATCGGGCTGACTGAGAGCAGGCAAGAGTGGCCCTGCTCACAGCTGGGGGCTTCCAGCAGGAGGGACAGGACACGGCTGTGCCTTCAGAGTTCTAATCTGCCCAAACCTGTGCTCTCCTTGGTTGCGCCTGTGGTTAGGCCACTGGGGAAGAGCTTATGGTATGTGCATCTGTGTGTCTATGTATGTATGTCTCTCTGTGTGTCTGTGTATCTCAGTGTGTGTGACTGTGCATTTGTGTGTGTACTTGTGTATATGTCTATATATGTGTGTCTCTGTTTTTGTGTGTCTGTGTCTTTGTGTCTGTGTGCCTGAATCTGTATGCACACCTGTATAGGTGACTCTCCTAGCCTGTGACCTCTGTCCTCTTCTGCCTAGACCTGGCCTTCTGAGGTCTATGGTTCCAGGTGCAGCATCTTGGTAGCTGAAGGTTCCCTGGGCCCCTGACCCTGAGTGCAGATGTCCTGAGCCTAGGGAGGTGGTGCCCAGGACTCCCTGGTCCCTGTCACCTGCACGTGAGGTCATGTCAACACACCAGGCGTCCCCACTGGCCACACAGTGTCTATGAGAACCAGAATTTTTATAGAACAATTCACACCATATTACTACATGTAAATCAAGATATTGAAAGGTGTATGGAACTCTAGGGGAATGAGAACTATTTATCTTAGTGTAAAAACTAATTCTCAGGTGGCGCCTGTGGCTCAAAGGAGTAGGGCACCAGCCCCATATGCTGGAGGTGGCAAGTTCAAACCCACCCCCAGCCAAAAACTTTAAAAAAAAACCCAAACCCCAAAAAACAAATTCTCCATTTTATTTGATAGCTAAACTTCTCTCTTCCATTTACTACTGTACGTGAGACACTCAGTGAAGTCACTGCTTCGGAGCAGATTCTGCACAGCCCGTGTCTGAAGGTCGCCCTGCACCTGCCCTCTCGGGGGCACATTTCTCTGTATCATCCATTTGCAACTCTGCCCCACTGACTTTTTAAAATTTCCACAACCAGCTTATCAGTAATTTGAAATTAAAACCAAAATATTTTTCACTGATGGCTCTCTCCCCAAAACCCAAGGGAAATGTTTTAGCTAACAGAGACACGTGACTAACGGCAGCAAATAAATCATAATTGAATAAATGAATAAGTGAGTGAATAAATTTAAAATTGATGGCCATGTGTAAGCCCTAGATTTCAATTACTTCTAAAGGAATGGGTATTTTTTTCAATTTTATCCAAAAGGAGAAATTAACAGTTATATCTCTCTTCTGTTTAACACTAGTAAAATATGGTATTTAAAACATCGTCAGTATTTATAATTATTAATAATAAAAATAAACATAGTTGGTACCAAAATAAGCAATAATATTAGAAAACATATAGCATAATAGCTTATAATCAATATTTATTACAACACTTAACCTAGAATATGAACTACAGTCTATCAAAACTACTTTGATTACCCTCACATGCTGCTAGTTGGAACAGGAACTGTGCAGTCCCCATGGAAAGTACTTTGGAAGTTGCTCAGAAGTTCAACACAGTTACCCTACAAGCCAGCAACTCCTCTCCCAGGCACAGGCCCAAGAGAAAGGGAAGAGCATCCGAACAAAAACGTGTTGATCAGTGCTCACCGGAGCACCATTCCTGGGCCTTCCCCAGGCAAATCTGTGAGCTATTTAACCCACAGAAATCTCAAGATGTAACGCGTGTGCATTAAACAGAACTACTAACAGGAGACCAGGCTGTGCTAGTTCATGGAGATGTGACTCCCCTGAACTCTGAATCCTGAGGATTCCGGTCTTGGGAGACTTGAGCCCAGGCTATTTCTGAGTTCCATCAGTCAGCACCTGAGTGTGAGAAAAGGCTGACCCACCTCCTCAGCCAGGCCAGGAGAGCCCACCAGAGGCCAGAGCCTCACAGCATGTGGGCAGAAGGGCTGAGGGAGGTCTCTAGGCCTCAGGCAGCTATCCTAGCCCTGCGACTATTGTGAGGTGTGGTCAGAAGGGGCCATGAAGCTGCTGATGTAAACAGAGGCCAAAACCTTGTCTGAGGCCACTTGGCTTAAGAGTGTCCTGTCCTCAGGGGAAGGGTGACCTCGGCCCTGGGTGGCTCTGGCCCAGCAATCACCCACAGCCTCTGAAGGGACCCTTCTCTCTGTGATCTGGCCCTACATCCTGCTGCAACAGCCTCTCCTCACCAGGAGGGCAGCTAGGGGCACCCTGCAATGGACATCTCAGACTCTACATGTGGCCCCTACTCCCAGCCTGCAACATCGGGAAGAAGCCCGTGGTCTCTCTGGACACACAGAAACTCCCTGGACAGATGCAGGTGGGCAGACGCCTGGCTTTGGGATACTGAGCTTGGGCACTTCACTTTGAAGACACCAAATTTGTGATGCTGAAAGCAACCAGCCAACCCGTGCTGTCATGGGGATTCTTTACCTCCTGATGAAGTGACCACTGTGACCGCTGGCAGAGCCATTGTTCCCACCATCTTAAAGACATGGCAGTGGCAGGAGATGGCTCATCACGACTCACAATGAATTTTGTACCGTCATCTCTCTTAAGACACCCTTTCTTTTTTTTGTCTTTTACAGGTTTTTTTTTTCTATTTTAACTTCAGAATATTAGGAGGTGCACATGTTTTGTTTACATACTTTGTGGTTGTGATTCTTTCGGAGATTTAGAAGGTGACTAATAGGCTTACCGCCATGGCCCCACCCTCCTGTCCATGGGCAGTGGGACCACCCTGTCTCTTCAATGGCCACACTTGCACCTGCACCCCCACAGCTGGCCTCCCACTGTCACATGCTCTTGCTCAGGCCTCCAGGAATGGACATGAGTGACCACAGTCCCCCTGTCCTGTCACTCTCCTCATGTGATATATACATCACTTCTCTTTTCCAATCTATCGTCTTCTCTTTTTTTGCAAAAATATATGAGTTATTTAACCCACAGAAATCTCAAATACTAAGCCTGCCCCACTCAGGACTTCCCCAGACCCAGTGGACCCTGGCTCACTTGTGGCCCAGGGATGCGTCTACACCAGGACATGGGCCTTTCCCAGGCACTTGGGGACCCCTGGAGCCTCCCTCACACTGAGGCCCCAAGGCAGTCCCAGAAGTCCCCCCGTCTTTCCCCAGCAGACCTCTTAGAACACTGGGGGGGTCACCACCGGGCAATGTGTGACATTTCTTTTCTGAATTTCTGGCCTGATTTGTAACATTTCCCACTTTCTGGGGCTCTGGAAACAGCCCTTACTGCATCCAAAGAACTTCAATATCCTGGATCTTTCCCTGGAGACCCCGGGGCTGCTCCCTGGGACCTGACCAGCAGAGGCCTTGGTCTTTTCAGGTGGCTTGTAGGGTATCTTATTGTTGTATTTTTACAACACAGGGAGGAATACCATTAAAAAAAACTAGAAAATAGCATTGTCATCCTGTATGGTCCAAGAGGAAAATGGGGTTTCTGAGATTGATTCGCTGAGGGTTATTCAGGAAGAGTAAGCAGAGGCAGGCCGGTGGATATGGTGACTTCTGAGCCAGAGTAAAACCCAGGGTGTGATGAAGACTCTGGGACAGGGCCCTGTGGAGGAGGGGAGGGAGGTGTGGACAGAGCAGGAACAGGAGGAAGGAAAGACCCTGAGCTGGACGAGGAGGAGCCTGGCCACCAGTTGGGCAGAAGCTCCTGTTTCTTACACCTGCCCCCAAAGTCTGAGCCACCTGTAGATGACCGTCCCAGAGAGCCTGGACTGTATCCTGATCACCAAGGACAGCACCGCCACCAGGAGAGCAGAGAGGACAACAGGGATGATGGGCACTTCATAACGTATAGAAACGTGCCAGTTGAATAGAATAAGTAAAAGCTGCAGTAACTATGCTCATGAAGGCATTTTTCTAGATTTGAGAGTCATCACTTTCCTACTGGGTCACAACTGGCATAGAGTAGAGTATTGCAAGCTGCGTGCCAGACAGCCGGGCACAGTGTATGTGCACCACTGCCTTCATGTTCTGAATTAACAGTTTCTCGGGTGCACATAGTTATTTTAAATATAAACATTGTGAGTGCACACTCCTGTAGATAAACACAATCAGAGTCACTCCGTCTGAGGAAGAGCTGTCCAGCCAGCTGTCTGATGGGAGCTGTGAGATGGCGTGTCTTCACAGCCTTGGGTGAGAAGGTCCATGTGTGACCCTGCAGGGCACAGTACCTTCCTGCTCTTAGGATGTGTGTGAGCACAGGGACTTATACCCCTGCCAGAGCTGCGGCATTTAGGTAAATAGGGGCAGGGGAGACTTTCCACAGTGGCCTTGAGCTCCCTCTCCCCACTTACCTAACGGGAGCTTCAGAAATGAGGGTGCCTGGCTGAGATACTGCACGGTGATGGTGACCTCATCGCCAGCGTTCCTCAAAAGATGCACCTGCCACCACAACAAACAACAGCTATGTCACCATCACGCAAGGACCAGACATAAAATTTGAAAATAAAATCCCTCCACATCTGTCCTCTTTTCTAAAAATTAAAAGTTTAAAATTACCTCTGCACACTGAAAACTGTGTAGGTTTAAACTGGGATAATGAAAAAATGGCCATGACCCCCCAAGTTCCTGTACTTTATGCAACTGTGTGTATGCCAGCCTTGGGCTGCTCCAGTCATCCCAAGTCACCCCAAGTCACCCCAAGCCTGGTCTCCACATTCTCTGTGGGTGTCATCTACCAGGAAGTGAAAATACTCAATTTTCAGAAATGGCAAAATGGGTCCTGGATTACCTATGACACAGTAAACCATAAATACAAATCTAAAAGTTTCAACGACACTTTAATTCTCAGAAAATGCATTGGCACCACTGCATCCTGCCACAACCTCCTCCTCTGCAGGAATCTCTGAGTCAGTCCACGTCTGATCCCACATTTTGTTACCTCTGGAATCTGATGCCAGCCTCTGCACAGGAGGCTGGCACTGTTCACTGTGATCTTGACACTGAAACTTGTGCCCACCAGGTCTGCTGCAACCTATGCACTGCAGCCCTGGCTCCAGGACCCTCCTCTGGGACATGGCAGCTCCATGCTGTCGCTCATTAGCGCCTGACCACTCATCAGTCTGTCTTCCCCAGGCCCCCTCCAGGCCCACTGCTCCCGATGTGGGCAGATGTCACAGCTATGCACAGCTGCCTAAAACATGCTGTGAACTTGGAGACATTGGAGCCCAGATTGTAAAAGTTCAAAGGTCCACACAGCCTGGCCCTGGATTCCGACACAAACCCCTCCCTGCCTCACCCACGGGGTGTCCACCTGGCACTTCCCCACCATGCGACAGGCTCCCTCCTCCCTGGACCTTCATGGAGACCGAGACCTTATGCATATGATTAGTGAGGTCCCACTGAAAGCCCGGAGAACCTCTGA